CGGCCCGGCCTGCGCCGACACCTGCTCCAACCCCGAGCGCAGCCAGCTGTGCGAGGACCACTGCCTGGACGGCTGCTTCTGCCCCCCAGGCAGGTCCGCCCCGCCCCGCCCCGCCCCGCCGCCTGGAGCCCAGGGAGCAGGTGCCCCCACTCAGAAGGGATACGCTCGGGGGCGGGATGGGGCGGGGCCGCGCGGGGGCGGGTCCCGGGCAAGATGGGCCCGCCCCCAAAGCGGGAGAAAGCGGGCTGAGGCTGGAGGCCAGGACACAGAAGGGTTACCTGGGTGAGCCTAGGGATGTGGCTCTGTGGGGTCCTGGAACAGGTCAGAGTCGTGTTCGGGGCGATCGGGATCCTCCATCGCCTCCCCAGGCTGCTCGTCCTTAGCCCTAAGGCTTGGGAATCGTAAGGGCGGGTGCCAGAAAGAGGAAGCCTCGGCACCCGCTTAAATACCGAAACACCTCTCAAGGATTCATTATTACTGCGATGATTATTTCCAATGCTAGCAAGTAGACCGCAAGGGGTGCAAGCGCTACATAGTAGATACAGACAGGAAACGCTTATCTGGCTGGCACCCAGATGCCTATTGTATTCAGGGAGCCTGGCTCCTATCCTCTTTGCTTTGCACCGACCTGTGAGGTGGGAGTGCAGCCAGTGCAATGTCGTCTCTCTTCCGTGCACGCTCTCCTTAAACCATTTTTATTTTTCATGTGGAAGTTCCTGCAGAGTTGGTGCATATAGCTCTACCCTGGACACAAGTCTCAAGCTTTTCCAGCATCTGTACAAGTAGCAGGAGCTAGCAAGTTCCCAGTGACTTCAGGTATCTTTACATTTTATTCATGTAGTCCTTTATTGATGATGAAAGAACATGGCTGAAATGGCATATTATTGCAGCCTAATGCAATTTTCCAAGGGAGTGGTTACTAATACTTTAACAAATTTTCACCTTCTATCAAAAAATTGCGCCAACTACGTTGAAGATGTTACTAAGGTGTCTGAATTTTTATTTATTTTTGTTGAATATTCACCATGACAGCCCACCAAGGAGGCCTGAGTTGGATCCCCGGCCAGAGAGCTGACCCACATATGGTGCAACAGACCTCTTCTGTATTGCTGGCTGCTTACCTGGCAGTGTATTTCAGTAAATCCACCTGCTGTGCTCCCCATTCTGTCTCTGGTGAATCCTTGCACCCCTGCACCTCTGGCCTACATCTCAGTTCTCCTATGCATGAATAAGTATATAGAAATAAAATCTTTAAACAAACAAAAAAAACCCCAGGTATCTAGTTCTTATCCATAAAGCTCTCATTCAACTCTAAAACCAAATTTACAAATCAAATATAAAAGCATAAACCCAATAAAATTAAAATTAACATTTATTGCTAAATGTTTTCCTTTTCATTACTCTGTTCTCCTTGGATACCAGTGGCCCCTTGGAATCCCACGTGCCTATACTATCATGGGTATAGATGATCAATTTCCCCATCTTCTTATAGTGAAATATCTACAATAACTTAATATAGTCAATCATCAGGAAACTACACTTTAACATAGATGTATCACTTGCATATTAGTTTCTCCAGTATTCTTATTAGCTTGTGACAAAGTAACTTGATTTCATAACTCCATGGGCAAATGAAATCATACCACACAGTACTGCACACCTATTATGGTTATCTAGATAGGTCTGGATTTTCTTAGATTGAAATTTTAAATATTTGTAGCAGCATTATTCATAACAGAAAAAAAAACTAAGCAGCAATCTGTATACATCAGCAGATGAATGGATAAATAAAGTGCAACATGTAAATGGAACATCCATTTTTAAAAAGGAAGAGTTTTCTCAACACATGGCTGAATCTTAAGGACATTAAACCAAGTGGAATACTACAAACCCACAAAAAATACTCAATGTAGTCAAATTCACAGAGACAATGGTTAAATGGTGGCCCCGGGAGCAAGGGCAAGCTAGGGAAGAAGAGTGGGCAGCCAGTTAGCCTGTAAAAGAAAACAGTTCCATGGATGGATGTGCTGATAGTTGTACCAAGTGAATGTATTACTGAACTTTGCACTTAAAGATGTTTAAATGGTAAATTTTATGCTGTGTGTATTGTACCAGTTAAAATTTTAAATGTTATCAGGTGAAAGACCAAAATTTTGAAGTGCTTATAGAGATCTTGAGGAATATAAATTAACATTTTTGTAGAACCCTCCCAAACAGCCCCCACAACTTTAATCCATTTTCCATCCTGTACCACTGGTGTGGGCTCTTAACATTGTCCTTACTCTGACTCCTTCCTGTACTTACCGCTCAACTTGCCTTGACATCAAACTTTAGTTCTAGATAAATGGTGTTCACCAAACTCGGTGCACAGTTTCACCATTTTCCCTGGCTCCCATTTCACTCTTCCCTCCTGATTCTTCAGTCTTTCCATTTAGTTGAGTCCCCTCGGTTGGTCAGAGTGTGACTATCCCAGACCACAGGGACTTCTCCCGTTCCAGCATAGGGTTATCAATACTCCCCAGTTAACATTAGTCATGGATGATTTTATCACTAATTCTCCCAATCATTCAACAAACATTTATTCAGCATATGCCATAGACAGGACAAGGTGCTAGGCCACTGAATCAAATGCTGTTTTCTGCTTTTCTTTCTTAACCCCTCTTATATTTCATAAACGTCTATGTAGTTATGTGAATGATATACCCATCTGTACTGTCATATTCCAGACAGCACATTTTAAGTGACTGAAATGAAAAGCAGTAGAATCTCAAGACTTCCCTAAAATAATGACATATTTTGGTGGTGGCAGTAGTGATAGTTTCTTTTTGTGTCAACTTAAATACTAGTTGTCAATACAAGAAAATTCAATGAGGATTTTGTAGAAGATCCTCATCCTACTGTTGGAAGTTTCCATGGTGACAGCAGTGATGTTATTGGGTCTTAAGTATCCATGATCAGAAACCCCCATTAAATATCATTTACCTAACAGACATTTGCACAAACACAAATAACTTTATTCATGTTAGAACAGTGTTAGAGTAGACAAGAGTTTTAAACACACTTCATATAATCAATTTCTTGAACTCAGAATATAGTTTTTAAAAAACTATACTCGTACTCTGAATATTATACTTACAGAATTTTGCACGTAGCCCACTCTTTCTGCCTAAAGGTAAAATACTACCTATATTTGCTTAATTTCCCATTAGTTTGCTCTTTCAACATGATTTTTATGCCTCCCATCCGTTCACTGTTCAATCTAAGGCTATATTTCTTGCACTCTTAACCTTTTTTGAGCTTCATTTTCTTTCTTTATGTTCTCGAGTATAGCTTTGAGGTATAGGGGATTCCTTCCCAAGGTCCACAACAATTACCTCCTTAGAAAATGTCACTCCTTTTAAAGGTCTTTTGTGGTTTTCAGTAGCTGAAGCAGATTTATGCAAACTGTGATCCTGGAAGAAAATGGGACAAATTGTATAAAGTGATCAATTACTAAATGCAACAAATCCTGTCTTTATAAAATATAGGTTGACTGGGCTGCCTGGTGTGCAGGGCTACCAAGCTATCGCTGTGGCTTGAGTTTGATCCCAGAGCCCATTGGCACAGCAGACCTCTCCTGTCTCGCCTGCTGCTCCCCTAAGCAGTGCATCTCAATCACCCTCTGGTGAATCTTCTCACTCCCCATACCTCTGGCCTACACTCCAGTTCTCCTATGCATAAATAAAAATAAGTTTTTTAAATAAAAATACATAGGCTGATAAGCATATATGTGCCTTGGTAGTGAAAAACATATCTAAAAGATGTAAAAAAACAGTGATAATCCATCATGATCTCATTTTATATCTCTGTGGTTATAAAAGCATATATTGGGGCCCTCCCTAGTGGCGCAATGGGTAAGGATGCAGCATTGTAAGCTAGCTGCAGATGCAGCTGCTTCAGTATGAGTTCAGTCCCCGGCCCCAGAGGTGACCACATGGCGTGGCAGACCTCTCCTGACCCGCCCACTGCTCCCTCCAGCAGTGTACTTGGTCGATCTGCCTGTTCTGCTCCCCACTCTGTCTCTGGTGAAGCCTCTCACCATCCTGCATCTCTGACCTGTACCCCATTTCTGTATGCATAAATAAATATTTTTTAAAAACCCATATATTGACCTATTCAAATAGAATTTACTGATGTGCTATTCCCTGTCCAAAGTAGTCAAATCCAAAAGGCAGCTGGGCCTGTCTTGCCCCTGACTGGACATGGGTTGTATGCTGGGAGAGCAGGTGAGTGAATGTCACTATGGGACCCCAAACATGGAATTCAAGAAGGCACTGGCAATATCTGTATGCTGTTGTAGAAGAAGCATTGAACTAGAAAAGGGGTATAGAGTTGGGTCCTGAACTTGGCCACTGTGGAGGTGTGGTCTTGAACAAGTCATCTCAGGTTCTCATTTGTAACACTCATGAGACTGTTGGACCCCTAGGTGATCTCCAAAGTCTCTTTCCAGCTCTAGAATCCTAGGATTCTACGAAAAGCAAAATGAAGGGGAATTATTAAGAAAAACACAAGTGCCAGGAAGAACAAGAAGCAAATGTCTGGGCTTGACACATAAAACCGGTTTAAATACATGAACCAAGAAGAATGGTTTAAATGATTGAGAACACTGCGCTCCTTCCAGGACCAAGCTAGATTACAGGCAGACAAGACATCCCTTATTATACCTCGTCAAGAAATGTACCTCCTTTTCCAGCCAACATTCTGAATTGCCCCTTCAGAATAGAAAAGCCCATCACCTCTTCATCATCTTTGTTAGCACCCTCAGCATCCTGCTGTTCTTCTGTTTTGTCCTCCTTTTCATCCTCTGTATTCTCTTTGTTTTCTGCAAGTTTGGCCACTGCTTCTTTACTGTGTCTCTGGACGAGAATGCCAGGCCTTGTGGGCATGTTCAAGTTCATGGCTTGCGTTAGAAGAGTACTAGAAATTCAACAAATCAATCAGTAAACTTTTAAAAATCTGGACATCTAGCTACCCACATGCAAAAAATGGCTTTCTACCACACTGTAAGATGCAGACTTACTTTCTTTGGTCTCCTGAGTTTCTCTTCTCTGCGTTAGCATCTGAACAATCTCCATTGTCTGTACAAGGAATTTGTTCTGAGTCTTCATTTTTCTTGATTTGGAAACTGAAAACAAACAAAAAATTTCAGAACAAAATGGTCTTGATTTTAAGACTTGGCATGGAATTTCACTTTTAAAAGGAAATTAGAATTTCTAACTCCCTGAAATGGAATTAGTAGATAGCTATAGCATTATTATTTGCTTGATTTCAATATATTTTATATCATATCTAGATAGATTTGCTAGCAAGACTGGAAGTCTGATCCCAATTTATCAGCATGAATTTATACCATTTATATAAAAAAGCCACCAATAAAATGAGGATGCAAATGAGGCAAAATAGAAGGATGGTGAAGAACGTGTTTGCTGTGGTTTCAAATCTCATAGGGTTAGCTAGAAGACGCGTCCACTCTCACAATCTCAGATTGTCCAAATATCTTTTTCCAGCTCAGTATGAATGTGGTTCTCTTGTTCCTTAATTTTTTCTAGAAACAGAAGAATAAAAGGTTGTTTTCATCATTGTTCTTTTGATGCATTTCATAATAGAAGCTCTGCTTGTTTCAGTGGAGGTGACTCACACTGGCTAATTTCTCTCCATAAATGTGTTGGGGGCTGAGGTGGCTGGAGGGGAGACTGAGCTGGGACACTTGTGATCACTCAGCTCACCTCCCCTCACCCCAAAAACGATCAGAATCCAGAGGAGAAAGGAAGTGGAGCAGCTGGAGCTGAACCCAACTCCCCATTCTTCTCTCCGGTGACATCACAGAATAATGGAACCACTAAGTTAAAGGGACATAAAGGTCACTCTACCCACCCATCACCTGGAAGCAGAAGAACCACAGAACTCTCCTCAGAGAGCAAGGGTGAATGCTGTAAGACACTGTCCTGGCCACACTTTGGGTAAGAATTTTCCTTAGTCTTCAAACATCATCTGAACGTCAGTTGACCTCTTGCTGCTGCTTTTACAGACCATGAAGTGTGGGTCCACTTTCTTCTTACAAAATTCCTTTCCATGACTCTCAGGTCAGTAATCAACTTACCTCCTAATGGTATTCTCTTCAGGCTGTTCTTCAGATTCTGCCAGACGGGATCTACTTTCTAGACACATGAGAAAACAAGTTCTAAAGGGCCTGGCAACAGAAGATGAAGAAGATGCTCAGAGTGAAGATGCCCTCAGTCTTGACTAACTTCAGGCAAGAGTAAGTGATGCCAACAAGAAGGAAGTGGCTAGAGCAGGGTTTTCTGAGTAGAAAAAGGAGCTACTCAGCTATTCCTAAAACGAACATGGCAACTTCTGTCAACTATTTCTAAAAGTCAGGTGAGTTTTGGGGGTCTTTGGGTTGCAGTGACTATGGCTCTCCTCCAGAATAGCAGGGACTGTGGCTTCTTTGTCCTTAGATAAGTCACCAAATCAGGACCTGCACATTGCGTAAATGTTGAATAAATGTGTATGTGTGTGTGTGTGTGTGTGTTCATGGCATGTGTATGCTTAAGTGGAGTTGTTGGAGGACTCAGGCCAAGGCTGATTTTGTTATGTATGTGAACATGTGAGACACTCCTGGCAGTCTGCAGAATTCCTGGATGCTTCCTCCAACCAGAGCTCTGAGGTCTGCCTTCTTATCCTTCTTATCCATACTGCTACCAGACTGAGATTTCCCTTTGTCTTCTCATGTCTCATGTCCACATAAAAGATTTCTTTAGGAGATGGGACTATTTTATATACATCTGCTGTGGTCATACTGTTCTAAGCATATATAAAATCCCATCAAACTGTATACTTAAAATTAGTGTACGTTCTGACATGAAATCAAACCAAGCGCCCAAAAGTAGATGACTGGATTAAAAAGATATGGTACATATACACAATGGAATATTACTCAGCAACCAAAAAAACAAACACATGCCTTTTGCAGCAACATGGATGGAGCTGGAAGGGATCATGCTTAGTGAAATAAGCCAGAAAGAAAAGGAAAAATACCAGATGGTTTCACTCATAGCAGGAGGATAAAGGACCAGGGGAAAATAATAATAATAATAATGAACAGCTATATATCAGGGACACTTTACAAGGGTGGAATGGGGAATGCCCTGGACTATGGTGATGGCACATGGGTGATTTGGTGATGGGAAACCCATGGGGATTACAACTGAGATGGAAAAAGGCACAAAATGATATGAAAATAAACTATTAAGAAAAAAAGAAAACACTTAAGATGTACTCGCTCAGGTATAAATAAGGTAGTTAAAACTTTTATAGGATGTGTCTTTAGTAATGTTTATTCTGTAGGAAATATAATGTACCTTTATTTTTTTT